CACTTGCCTGTTGAGTTCACTCAAGATGAACCTCTCCATATGATATAAGATATGTCTTTCACCACAGTAAACTTATCTGGAGAATAATTTTTTTTCTTCTGGCTTTAGGTGTCTTCAACACAGCCATTTAAATCCTAGCAAATCAACTAAGGCTTCCTTTTTAATGAAGGTCAAGACACTTTCAGGGTATGACTCACTTTCTAAATGAAGATGTTCCCAGTGACAGGCACAACTGGCTGTATTAGTGTTTAGGAAGGAAGGTAGATAAGTAGGCAGGATCAGCTCTGTAAATGTCAGAATATTATAGACAATCACATTGGAATGAGAGCAACTGTGCCATAGAAACACCATCTTCTCTCCATTGATTAGTTAAGATGAAGATGCCTACACAATCATGTGAGAGCCACTGCACCCTGTACGTCCAATACTCTAGAATCAGTTTCTGAGTTTGTGACCACATGCCAAGTACAATGTAAACATGGATCAGAATGATCTTCTATATAGTGGCCAATACTTAAAGACACATATATAATAAGCAGAGTTGCTTTTTAACACACAGCTCCCCAGCTGACTCCAACTTGATGCTGTTTGCATAGGCCTATTTAAGCACTACAAATCAAACATCTTTCTAAAATCAATTCCGACTGAAACTGGCTCTGTAAGATCTATAGCTAATGATATCCCATTTTCACAAGAGTTTTCACACAAATTCAAGATTAAATGGTATCAGAAACCCGTATACTATGAAACCTAAGTAGAAACAGGGTGGTCTTCTGGGAGTGACTCCTAATTTGAAGATCTCCCCACCTTACAGTTCAAACTCCATTATAATGAAGCACAGTATCTTGACTAGGGTGCATAACCAAATCCAGAAAGAGCAGTTTCTCAGACATTTCAGTTTGGAACCAGCTGGTATTAAAGTTGAATCTTAATACAATACTCAATACCTACATTCCCCATATCCAGAAAGCTAGGTTTAATGGGATCCAGCTGCCTGTACAAACTGACCCAGGCATTGGTTCAGCTTGGACCAACTCTGCTAACTGAAGGGAATGCAGAAACAAAGTTGGACTGGAACTTAAATAAGAGGTAGTCTGTAAGAGACAGGTTATTTTTTTTGCCATTTGTCTGCACACCCTGCTGTGCACTCACCAGTTTAATTTCAACTTTAACAATTCACCTGCTATTTCATCTAGTACTACTGCAGGGTAGTAAGGAATGGAAAACCTAGGCATCCGATTCATTTATAAAGTAACTGTTACTGGACACAAGGTTTAGAGCAGGCAATCTAAAAGCCTACTTCTATATGGGATGAGATGTCAGTCTCTCCTCTCAAATTTCAAAAACATACACTGCTTATTCCTTATTCATTTGTGCTTGGGTAGAAAGGTGGAGCCACCTTAAAGTGACTCCCTCTTCAAAACTGTGAAATATTTCTAAGGCTGGTTTTGGAAAGACCTCCTAAAATTAAGTAATGATTAGTGTACATTAACCCTCTATTAGAAAGTGAATCTAGACATTTTAATGTTTACTACTTAAAAGCTGTGGGACTGCAGCAGGGTCTTGCCACTAAGGCTATGTAGTCACCCTCCTGTAAGGATGGCTCACCTTATTCCATTTATACAGAAGTTTATTCTGCTGGGAGGACCTAAACTGTAGAAATTTCCCACTAGGTGTTTTGTAATTGTGTCTATATTACAGTTTTTGGCTGCATGCTGTACACCAATTACAGATTAGAGGCCAGAGACATTTCAAATATCAGTGAAATCAAGGTAGGATACAGTGTGCTTAAGGAGATGATACATACTTTGTATTTATTCTAACCTATATATTATTACAGATGACTAACCCAAACTGTACCTTAAAGCCACCTTTAGGTCAACTGCCTCTCATCTTAGTTTGTATAGCTACGTAATTTCTTACAGTCTACCCTAAAATGGAGATGACAAACTAATCTATGTTTAATGCAACTGCACTCCACAAGGTGAAGAGAATTTCCTTAGGTACCCCTAAAAACTTCCACACCCATCTCATACAACCAAAATCCCCATGTATTAGAGTCCTAACACAGCCAGAATCCAGATCTCATCAACACTTGTTTTTGGTAAGAATGCAATCTATTGTTATTTTTCCAGGGAGAAACAGTCACAAAAGCACCTTCTGCAACTCCACAGTTTTCTTCTGTTGGGAATTACTAGGGGAGAGCCACACTCAGAGATGAAGAGTACCAGAAACACAAGTATAGTTCAGTGAACAAGGACAGACTGAAGAAGGAAAAAGGAGCTGTCATTGACAGAAGAGAAATTAAAAGGCCAGCAACTGGCAAAAAAACATCATGAAGTTCAAAACTATGGCTCCACCTTATTCACTACAGGCCTACTTCAGAAAAATAACCCATATACAGTTTCCTCAAGCACCCTCCTAAAGGAGGGCCCATTCTTTCAGTAAAAAGAAAAATTACTTCCATTCAGATACTCAATCTTTTACACTGATGTCAGAAAGCCCTTCTTGTATCTTCGCTTCTTCCCCACTCCTCTTCAATTGGAAGTTATTTTTCTATTTTCTCTAAACATCTCACAGCTAGCATCACCCAGCTAACTTGGTGTTCCCCCCTCCTCATGCACAGGCATCCCACGTTAGTACTGTACTCTCCACATTACTCTTTTCTTATTTTCACATGCCAACAATCACAGCAACACATGCTGGTTTGCATTCAGCAGAGGAAGCGTTAAATTGGCGTGACACTCCTAAAAACCATTGCATTTTAAGTGACAAACCAATGCAACAGATTTGCAACACTACAACAGAAATAGGTCACAGCTACTAGATGTCAGCAGACAAGCCTCTATTTTTAACAGGCTTTTTTGGCCAAAAGCCTGTTCGCCCACTTCCATCAAGTGCTTAGGAAGTCTGTTAGAAATGCAGAAGCACAAGGCAGAATGGGAGAGATCCCATGTGCTGCATTGCACTAGGAATTCTGTTGTTATGCTGGTGGCACTGAAGACCCAGGCAGGAGACAACGCTCTCACCTCTTGGAGAGGTCACTTTCTGAATGCTGGAGCAACCTTCCTGAGCCCTGGTAAAAGCTTTTCAGGAAAGAAGGGGCAGAGACAGAGGAGGGGAGCCGAGGAGACGCAGATTCACTCTCACTGAGAGCGCGTCGAACCCCAACAATAGGGCTGTGCAGGCAACAAGAGAACATAGCAGATGGGTCAGCATGGATTCGGAAACAACAACAAAACATCCAGATCAAAGATATTGGCCAAGTACCTCATCTTGGCTTACAGTAACTTTGTTTAGCAGAAAATACGATGTACCAAGTATGCTACTGGGCAGCTTCCCTGATGACATTGATCTTGCTGATAACTGATTTCTTTCAAAAAACATTTCAATGACACTGCCGAACAGGCAAACCACCTTATTTCTTTAGCCTTATTTATTCTCAAAGCACATTCAGAAAAAGAACCTCTGAAACATTCAGAAAATATCCTTAGAAACCTGCTTCCAATAACATGAACCACCTTGTTTCTTCCTTTCAGTTTTCTCTTGCTCTTGTAAATAACATGTATTGCTAGAACACATTAGAAAGTAGAGATTAAAATGCACTATTTTTGGATAAATTTTTGTTAAGTGTTTAAATCAAGAAAGATAGTCCTACTACACAGTTAAACATTACTTAATAAATAGTAACAAGTGTTGGGGGGACATAAAAATGAATTCAGTTAAAGAAATATTTACTTAACATTTTTGATTAATCCTCAATAGCAAAGGAGAGAAGAAAAAATCCCAGCCTAGAACCAAGTTGTTACAAACTGTTTTGACTGAAAATCTGCTGATGATGCCACTTAATCAGTGACTTCTTAAAAGTTATTACCAAGAAGTGAAGTCAGCAAGTCTTCAGTTTGAACTGTTAGGGTTTCCTGTTTGCATACAACATGGTCAGTGGGGGGGCGGGGGGGG